TTATAATCACTTAGTAATCTTTTGCAGCAATACATAATATATAGTTAAAAGCATATTTATATTTCAATCTCTCATTGCTCTTACATACTCTTTTTACTGTCCTTTTATCAGCATTATCTTTTGTTGAACCAACATGATCAGTTAGTGAAATGAAATAAGATATGTAATTTTTATTGTAAAATATTCGTAAAAAGAGTTTTCTATTTTCTTCAGTAACCCCTTCAAATGTTTTTCTATGAATATGTATTACATTTCGTAAAAATCGCAACTTTCAAGCGGAGACTCAGCTCCAAATATTCTCTGCTGCAATACTAATTTTACACATCATTTCAATCTTATACAAGTAACCACATAGCTTCACTGGTGGAACCAGCTGGTGGAATGCGTCATAAATTAAAAGCATGGCCGGCCATCGGAGGAAAATTCTCACAAGAAATTATGTTTTTCTTTTCCTTAAATTTTCAAAGAAAAAAGTTCTCAATATCTTCTTTTGTACCCCTTGAGTACTGCTTGCGGATCCCCGAGTGTATATGAGCAACAGGTTGAAAATAGCTGCGTTAGGTAATTAGCTGCATTTTGACGTACTGTTGGTTTTAAAATGGCTCTCTTTAAATTATCTTTTGAGGGCAATATTCTTAAAAAAAGACTATGCAAAAGTGTAGCTTAATTAACTTAACGTTAACGACGCTTATTACTGTTTTTTGTTTTTATTTGAAAAGGAAAATACTTTTTAGATAATAAGGGAAAACTCTTTGAATACAGAAATCACATAAAAGTTACAGCGTGTTTCTTTTTATTTATCTAAGAAAGGATAATTCCTTCAGCAATATCTCAGTCTGTTTCTAACTTACAGATAAGAATAAATTTCATAATAATTCACAATTATAACTTTGTTTGCTTCGTTCTGAAGCGAATTTACTGTAAAGTCAATTTATACAAATTATATCCTTTCGAGAAAGATCACGCTTATATTAAAGACAGGTTTGGACGTACTCTTTCGTTTTTTCTTCCTGTTTTAGAATATAATAAACATGTTAAACGCGCTACATTCGTTTTTATTTTCCTAAATCTGTCATGTTTCTATTATAATACAAACCATTTTCGAGCAAAACTAAAAATCAGTCCAAGGATATTTTGGCAAAATATACAATACGATTAGAATTTTTTAATGATATTTTTATTTATGGGTAGTAAAAAAGAGTGCTTTCATAAATCCGTATTTATACAAACCCGTGTTTCAAAAGTGAATTAAATACCATTGAAAATGAAATGTTTAACAAAACACATAGACTCATTATATTTGTTGCTTACCATGCTGTAATTATTTTGCATTTTCATTCATTAATCAAATAAGTTTAATATTTTATAAATCAAATTTAATGAATTAAATTTTAGATTACTTCTTTCAGGATTTTACATATATGAATACGATAACTTCTCACTTCCTCGTAAAGGAAGTATTGTAATCGAAAAAATAAATAAATAAATAATAAAAAAAAAATTAGGGTATCATATATCAACGAAAATATACATTTTAACAGCTGCATTTGAACGATGTTTTGGCGGTACATCTGTATGTACGAAACGAATAAAGGACTCCTTTCCCCCAAACGGATTATAAAATGGATTTAAAATGTATTCAGAAGAGATTTTGTTTCGTGACTTTTGTATGTACTTATGTATGTATCTCGCACAACTCAAAAATGAGAAGCTTCAGATCGTGGAAATTTTGTACATCAGACCGCTATAACATGTAGTTGTACACCGCCCTTTTTGGTTGCAATCGGCGGCACCAAGCACATACGTATTTATATACTCATCCTGTTACCCGGCTCAGTGAATTAAGTTTATTATTCTTATATGTTGATAAATTGTGTATTTTTTGCTTCTAAAGTTATGTTGTTCCAATTATGTTGTATCCATTATGTTGTTCCAATGTTCCGATTAAGGTTTTTATGCCTTGAGTTAATCTGCATGGAATAGTTGTAGAATTATCAAGAATTTAAAAGTTGTTTAAGTGCTACTAAGCCTAACGAAGACACCATTTGTTTACGTTTAACATTCTTAGTAGAGTAATTATCAAAAATTAAGTCAGTTTGTACACCAACTTCTGTTTTTTTTTTTTTTTTTTTTTTTTTTTTTTTTTTTTCCGAGTGGAACCAGAAGTAGTTTCAATTTTGTGCCCTGAAAAATCTCTCTGTCTTCCTATCCTTTGCCCGAATTGTTTGTTTTTGCGTACAAACTTTTAATTGTAAGGATTGCTTTTTTTTAACTGTTTTAACTGTATTTGGTGTTTTATGTTTTTCTGTATTTTACAACTTAAATTCTGTATTTTACAACTTAAATGAAGATATTTCGACTTTTAATGTATTTTTGCCTTGCCGCGAACTGAATTAATTGAATGAAAATTATATGTCTAATGAAACTTGAAAAATTTTAAACGAAATACAGTAAAAATGTGAGTAATTTAATAGGCTGTACAAAGAAGTCATGTGGTGTCCACATCAGGTATTTTGCTAATATTTTAATTCTAAATTATTTGAAGCATGACTGCACTGAAAAATTAAGTCTCTATACATATTGTACTTTGAACAAAGCGCTTCGAAACTATCAGATATCAATCCCGGCATTTTCACTCAGAGCTGCAGTTATTTGTTTCTTAGATGCATAGCTAACAATTTTGGAACTAACTACAATTTCCACTTTTGTTCCTAGATACATAAGGTAATCTAATATCTTTTAATCCTAGATAAGTCTTTTTCGACTGTGTTGTTAAATCATTACTTTCTTAACTGATTTGCTTATTAATTTTTATCATTTTCAGTGACATTTATTTTTTATCATATAAACACTGGCAGTCATGTATGGTAATTTAGCTTGTATAAAATAATTTTATTGCTGTTAGTTATTAGGTCGAGTAAATAAATATATATCGCTTTTATAGGGATTTTTGAAAAAATGCAGTGAGATATTTATGAATAAATGCAACTGAATGAAAAAAAGAAGCCTGCCAATACGAATTTTTAAATTTAAGGCTGAGTTTAGGCAATGTTCAGTTTTAAATTTACTTATATTTATTTAAAATTTCTTTTCATATGGTATTATTTATTTTTAAAAATAAGTACTTTCTCCAAAGCGAAATTCTTAAATGATGGCGATGCCTCTTCAGTAATATTAAAACAACTAACTTTTACTACCACTTCAGCTTATGTTAAATGTTACATTAATAAATAATTTTTCCCATTATTCCAAAATCTATTGTTATTAGATATTAGTTTCCTGTTTATAAAAGATCCGTTATCATTTGACCAAACATGATCATTTCGAAGCATACCTTGTATACTTCTTTGCGTTTGTTAAAATGTTAATTTAGTGAATAAAAGTAAACGTATGTAAGATATAATGAAATGCATATGCAGCTAACTCATTCTTTCTCATGAAAAGAAAGATCGCAAATAGGAAAAGGAGCATATTTTATTTATTTATTTTTGTACAGTAAAGAGATACATCAGTTTGATGCATAGATAAAATCAGAATATATTTTATCGCATAAAAATTAGAAGGCAAAATTTTGGATTGCTTTGCTACACGTGATCGGTAGGGGAAAATGTAAAATAATTACTGAAGGAAAGAGAAAACAAGGACATTTTTGCTTTATCTGAGAATAGAATGATTTTCGTCAATAACTTTCTTTGTACAATCATTAGCGGTTTTAGGATCAGAAGTCAGAAAACATGAGCAATACCCTCGCATGGACTCGAACCTGGACCTATCGAAAACGCCCCGAGTGTGCTAATCATTACATCACGAAGACATGCAGAAAGGAGGGAGAAAATGCCTCACATACTTCCCCTTCTAATGAACGACTGAAGGTTACGGGACCCAGTCTTCAAATCCTGGTGGTGAAAAATCATCATCTACCATTTTTTAGTTCGAGCGCAACTGTAGAGCTGTTAGATTTTTTTTATGCTAGAGACGTGAAGAAATGAGCAATGCTCTCCCCGGGATTCGAGCCTGGACTTCTAGAATACGCGCCAAGTGTGCTAACCATTAAACCACGAAGGCATGCTTAAAGGAGGGAAAAATACCTTATTACAAAGCAATTTAACTAGCGTTTCTGAATTTTTACGACATTTTTCTGTAAAGCAATGTAATTAGAATTTCTTACTCTGATGGTTTTATTTTAAATATTTCAATATAATAATTAATAGTCGCTAAACACTGATCTAGATACATAAGCCGTTTTTTGACTTCAGTACAGATGCATGCCTTCTTGCCAAACTGTGATTATCTACACAGTGCCAGATATCTATATAATCCCATCTTAAATACAGAACAAGGAATTAGCAAATTGTTAGACTTTCATAAAGAATGAAACTTTGTCATGTTTCCTTTCAAACTGACACGCTTCTTAAGCCGTTTTTGGATTCAAATAATGTGATCAGATCTAAATAATAGCTCTTTTTAATATCATAGCAGCACATTTGTTAACTGTTCTATGAGTATTTAAGCTCACAGTCAAATTCACAAACCCAGAGAAAATTCTATCTTATATTGGTTTATTAAAACACTTCATGAAGAGGAGTTTCCTTTTTTCAAATATCTAAAATATTCTATATTTTTGCCCCTTGTAAATTAAAGTCTGCATGCCTATCTCCCTTATAATGCACAGAGTTTTTCTAATACTCTCGTGCGTTCTAATACCAGCATTAATCTAAATTACAATTTAATCTAATAAATGTAAATTTTAGATTGGAATGTTGCTTTTCGAATACCATTAAAATATACTCGAGTTTAAAGTATTTCAGGATTTTATACTTCAGTGCTAAATCTTGCAAAGAAGACTTTACTACAATGTGATTTTATGTGATTAATGTAATAAATAAGAAATATTTGATTTCAATCTATCAAATCGTCTGTTTTTTATCTTCATATGCAGTAGAATATCTTTGCTGTAAACTTAATGACGGTAAACCTAATAATTATTTTTTTTATTCTAGCCACAGCAATACATCATCGAAGCGAAGACATTAATTATAATGAGAGATTCCGATGGGTCGGAGGTAATTATGATTTCTTACTTTTTTTTTTTTTTTTTTTTTTTTTTTTTTTCAGTTTTAGTTCACTGAACTTTTAAGGAATTTTTTGCTTCTCACTACCAAACATCAGTAACTTCATACCTTTTTCTGCCTTCAGCTAGTAATTATTTCAAAAACAAGACATTTTAATAGCCGCACAGGTTATGCAAAGAATACAAACTGATTTGTTACAAAATCTGATATGCATCGTAAAATAACAGAAATGCTGCAGTGCGCAATCTGCTCAGATGTAAAATTTCAATTTTGTTCAAAATTAGCAACTGATTTTAGTGAATTTAAGTTAATATATATAAAGAGACAGCATTTTGTAAAAATATACAATCCATGCGTTAATAAAACTGTACGATAGTTGATGATCGAAGTCCTAAAACTTAACTAACAATAAAAATCAATCAAGCTAAATATATCTAGTACAATCACTTAAGTTAAATCTAAGCTGTTTCTTTTCTAACCTGTGATTGATCATTGTGATATAATATGTAAATAACTGAATATTTATTAATTGAATTATTTGCATATTCTCGCATCTTTTGGAAATAAATTATACCGAAGCATGATAGGATAAAAATATAAAATAAATGATTGGTTGTAAAAATTTTAAACATTTAGCAATAGAAATACAACACAGCTAAACTTTCATCTTCTTTTGGTCTTAATTGCAGAAAGATGAGTACGTTTTACAGATTTAAAGGATGACGGAAGTTTTCTTTAAATGCAGCTGTAAAACTTATTTGTGTTAAAGATTCTCCTTTAACGTAAATAAAATGTACCTGTTGATAGTAAAAATTGAGCAATTTAACCCATGAAATACGTCCTAATAATTTTAAAGAACACGGAAAAGCTGAATTTTACAATTTATTAATGGTTACTACTATGATATTTCACATTTATTGTTTCCACATACCTTACTGCACTGGGAATTTGTTGAAATATCCGACGAATTATAGTCCACCACCTTTTAGTTCGGGAGCCACTTGTCGAGTGATTAGGTTATTTTGAAGTAGGAACGTGAAATGTATGCAGCGCTTTCACCGGGACTTGAACCCTGGCCCTCTCGAATACACATCGAGTATGCTTGCAATTGCACCACGAAGGCATGTGGAAAGGCGGGAGAAAATACCTTACAGATCAGATACGGTCCCTTTTCTTCAAGAACAACAGTTCTGATTTTTTTTTTCTTTTAAAGAAGAGTGTCTGATCGCCTTCAAAATCGCTAGAATTTTGTTCAAATTTCTGTGCTAAAATAAGGATGCTTTTTGCCTAGTTTTAAATTTTTAATTGACTTCTCCCCCTTGCAATTTGAGTTTAAAATAAGCTTTTTGGACCAAATCCCACAGCATAGACTGTTCAATAGGGCAAGAAACATCATTGGTTACGGCTCACTAATGACCTTCCCTGCTCAAAAGAGATGCATTGCTTGACCCCATGTTTATAACGTGATAAAGGTGTTGGTTTCGACGTGACTGGAGAAGTATAAAGCCCCATGGAATAATCTATACTTATGGTTTGAGTGTCACCAACACTGAACCGGGATGTGATCAGCTGTAAGGTTCTATATGATTGCCATCCTACTCAGATGCAGTCGATCCAATTATTTCATCACCTTGTACATTGATGTTTGTCCACGTAGAGTAGATATTTGTAATGAACTGGCAATATACCATTGCCACTGTTATGCATGAAACTCGAAGTCTTAGAACTATCTCTGGAGGTAGGAGGGCTCATCTTTATGCACAATGCAACTTAATGGAATTAAGTGGCAATAAATCATGCATATGGTAGCATTGGTTACGTTTATCAAACATACTCTAAAACACAATTTCAAAGACTCTTAATGTTACGCCATAAATCTATTAGTCGACTACTGCAGGGAAAATATCCATAACCTTAAAGTAAAGCTCCTACCTAATTGTTCTGACATTTCAGCTTATTTTCAATATCTAAAGCATTTACTTGAGCAAACGAAAAATAGCATAAGAAAGTTTTCGGATATAGCTATTAATTGTAAGCTAAGTTCTCTTATTCCGTTTTTATCATTTTCTACGTATGTATCTATATATTCTTTTTATGTTTAGATTCAATTCAATTACATTTTGAATCTTTTTTAAAAATATAGTACGAATTTATCTGTTTTAATTGTTTTATACTACGTTATTCGTTTTAAAAACTTTGCAGTTCTTTCATAGAAAACTGCTATTTTTTAAAAAAATAGGTATTTGTTTCTTAGGTTTTTCACACTCTGTTTCATTTCACTTAATTTGAGAACAAAAACGATTTCCTAGGATTTACGAACTTTTTTTTTTTTTGTTTTAATTAGAAGAATTTTATTCATGAATTAAATACATAAAAACTGCTTTGGACTAGTTATATTTTTTCATTTTTTTTACGATTGACAATATGTTGTTCTGACATTTCATCTTAAATACATCAATCTTTTTAATGACATAATGTTTTTAAAATGCTGCTCATTTTCCTTTCCTTTATTTTTATTTTCCTCTTAGTTATACTTTTTAAATATCAGAAAATTTACCGGTAATAAGAAATTTCCTGATTTTTCTTTTAATTTTATGCCTATGCATTGTTTAAGTAAAAAAAAAAGACTTGTTATGGTTATTCTGCGATTTCCTCAATTTAAAGCCGCAGTATATTGCGAAAAGAAGTAACACGAATTAGCAAGATGATGACTTTCATGATGTACGCTCATCGCATATTTTAGAAGCGTGTGTGTAATTATGGCAAAGCCTCGAGGGCTATCTGCCTAAGGGGAGGGATGCCTTCGTGGAGGACTTTCTAAGGGAAACTGGCTCGTATACACGTTACACATGGGGAAAACCACATATTTTAGAATATTGGTTTCTTTTGTGGTGTTCATAATAACAAAAGAGAGTTTGATAAGCATTCTACATATTGAATAGTATAGTACACATTTAAGGAGAATGATGTAAGAATGAAAAACTAAAATCATACGGTACAAATTTCGATACTTCCAACATAAAATGAAGTTCTTTTTCGTAAATCTTGCATTTTCTCAAAAAGTCGTCAACATTATTTTTATCTGCTTTTCAATTTAAGTTTTAATACACAAACATTCGCTAAAATTAGAAATTTCGCTTTATTCACAATATAATGTTTTTAAAATTGTTTTCATAACTCTTTTATATATTTGTACAATATCTTCTTATGACCATCCTCTAAATTTTTTTTACGTAAAAAACAAAATATTTATACACTCTTTACCTCCCTATTTTCTTCTTCGAGACACTTTACCTTCCCTTACTTTAACTACTTATAACCGTCTATTTGGCTTCGCCTTATCTTTTAAATCGTCGATCCTGAAAAAATCCTGAAAAAGCTGAAAAGCTGCTAGTTCTTGTGTCATAAGCATTTTAATTTATCTTAACTTGAAAATGTTAAATTTAATTTGCATAATAATGTTTATTTATCTTCCAGATTAAAACTTTTTTCTGTTTATTAAAAGTGTAGCTGAATAAATAATTTAAAATAATCTATATTTTTTAGTAAAGATTTCATACTTTTCGAAAAGTTTTATTAATATTTGCGCCTTCAAGATGCATAAAATAGAAACATTTCTAATATTGTACAATCTTTATTTCAGGCACGGGTGTTTAATTTATGTACCAAATCTTCTCTTTACTATTCTGATCCTGTCGTTTTTCCTATATTGTGACAACATACAAAAAAGCAATGCTTTTCTGGAATCATAATATTTTCAGAAGTGTTCCGATTTATATAAGTGTCATTTATAAATATATAACGTTGTGAAGCACTGTTAGCTGTAAATACTAGGTTAATGATAAATTATTTCATTCAAATTTTTGTGCCAGTTTATTTTATTAAATTCATTAAGAAGAAACGAAAGCTTAGAATAACAATCCTTAGAATTAATCTCAAGTACTGCGTCGATTATTTTGAAACAAAATTAAATGGTGCTTGATGTTTTCTAAAATTCTAGTACATTTCTTAAGAGAGGCCAATTGCGAAAGCCGTTAAGGCTTCCATTCATCGTGAGTTACGGAAGAAGAGAGGTGAATGACAGAAATTCAAGTTCATATTCTCTTCAAATGCATTTCCGCAATTTTAGCGCCAATTGTCTTCTTCGCTGAAAGTGGAAAATAACAGTTTCCCGAAAAATAGAAGACACGATAATAAGCACTGTTATTTTCAGTGTTCTTCAGCCGTTAAATCACTTTGCTACGTAGATCTATTTATTATTTTCCCTGTTATTCAACAGGTGTTGCAGTTTTGGCGTATTCGCAATATTCTCGGAGATTTTACTTTTTCTTGGTTTCGTTTTTCTGGTGCTTATTTTACTTTTTCTTGGTTTTGTAACTCAAGTAATTGTGAAAGGATTTTATCAATTTTCTAAGACTTTAATATAAACTTTTTAGTTACTTGACAAAAGCAAGATTTAATAAATGAGGCAGTAATTTTCAGACATGAGAATTAGAGGCTAGAATGGGAAAAAAATGTTTCATCTTCCTTTAAGGTAAAAAATGTTTTAAAATGTATACAGGTTACCAATTAACAATGTGAGGATTAGGTGTCTTAAGCCCCGCTTTATCTAAAATATGCATCTAACTTTTGACTGCACCAACTTGGCTGCTTACAATATGCGTCTAACCGGAAATTCAATCGATAATATGTATTATCGGTGTCGCAAATTATTTCTTATGAAAAACGCTATAACTCAGCATTCTGTTTATCTAAATTCACTTACTTTATCTCGAAGACGAATCTGTTCTTTTATAGATTCCTACCATTGAAAGTGCTAGTTGTACAGAATACTCGTCGCTTTCTTACGTTTATCGTGAATATGAGCTAGCTCATATAAGACGGACTTTCTTCAGGCAGATATCTCGAATGCTCTGCTACCATAAATCACCAACTAAGCTATGCCCTTATGTTTAATCCAATGTCAAAATGACCTAGACAATATACTTAAG